AACAAAATTCACTTAAGATTATTTTCACAACAGGCAACTGAAAAAATAAGCCATATGGTATGGCAGAAAACGCCCCTCAGCCAGTGTGTTAGTTGCCAGGCAGCCTCCTGTTTACTTCAGTTCCTGTTACTACTGTCTCCTAGAAAGGGCTGGCTGGTCAGTGTGTTGCACAGCTGGTCACTGTGATGCGTATTGTAAGAGCCAATCAAAGACAGCCAAGTGCTCTGCCTCTGTGCTTCCCCTCTGCAGCCAACCCTATAAAACCCGCCTTCCCTGCTCCTCGGGACCTGATATTCTGAGAATGACCCTGATCAGTGCCTGTTGATGTAAAATAATCTGCCTCCACGTGTTAAGTGTTGTTTCGGTGTTTCTGCTTGCTGTTGCAATGGAAATACATGGTGTTGCATTCAGAGAAGAAAGTTTTAAAACTCTTCACTGTTTTGTAGATAAAACCCAAACTCCTTAGCATTGACACGCAAGCCTGGCCTTCCAGCTCTGCAGTTCTCTCCTAATGCAGGTTGCCCCCTCCCCTCAGGTGTTTAGGGTGACACCATGTGTATCTATTGGCCAAGGCACCAAATCTCAGCCCTCCTCCTTTTCGTGGTACTGAGGTTGATCCCAAGGCCTTCAGATATAGCTACACCGCCAGAACCCCTCTTTCTATTTGAGACAGGATCTCACTAAGTTGCTGAGTTGTTGACTGAGCTTGAATTTGTGACCTTCCTGCCTCAGGCTCTTAGAGCGCTGGGATTATAAGACTGCACACACTCCTAGATCCTTTCTTTTGAGCATTAAACTCATTGAGAGTGTTATGAAAATAGTATGAAACCCTAAGTAACCTATCAATTTTTCTTAGGGAGAACTCAGAAACAAGTTTGTTAAGTTCAACTTTTCTCATATTTTAACACTTCATTAAATGAAAGGAAATAAATAATGCTCCAGAAACACTAAGTTATACATCAACTTTCCCATGCAGAACTCAGAATCGAAATAACTATATTTTCACATTTGAGTAACTTAAGGAATGTTTTTTTGAAACAGAGTCTCGCTACATAGTTCAGGCTGCCTTTGAACTCACTATGTAGCCCAGGCTAGCCTCGAGTTTTTGGCCATCCTCCTGCTTCAGCCTCTCGAGTGCTGGGATTTCAGGTGTGCACCGCCACGCCCAGCTACTTTAAATTATTTTTATGAGATGTTATTCAGAAAGGAGCCTCAGCCTTTTGGGCCAGTGTGGCTGGGTGAGTAGGTGGATCTGCGGCCACCAGCTGAGCAACACACGTCAGTCAGAGAGACAGAGACAAGTGCTGCATTATCTCGTTTATGTGGGGACCCTGAGTGGGACTGGAGGAGGCCAAGAGCTGTAGGCTTTGTCCCGCAGGTCAGAGGGGACCAAGGCGGGAGTACGGGCCAGAGGCTCTACGTGTTCAGTGAGAAGATGCACGGTTCTGAAGACCAAATGTGCAGAGCGGTGCTTACACTTCATGTCTTGCATGTGCGCCAGTTCCCCAGGGAGAATGTCATCGCTGGCCTCCAAACGTGGACTAATGAGGACTTAAACTTTTAAAAGAAAAAATTGTCTAATCCCCCAAATAATACATTGCATACTTGAAATTTCGAGAGAGAGTGGATCTTAGGTATTCAACTTTACCAGGCACAGAGTTACCTCTGCAAGGTGATGGGCAGGTTTAATAGCGCGCAGGTCATCACTTCACGGCACTCGTGCCTCTGGGATCATCAGCAAGCACATCTTGAACATACACAGCTTTAATTTCTTGATTATGATGAATAAAAATTAATAAAACTGAAAAATTTCACACCACATTTATTGCACTTTACAATTTAACATATATTTATCTTTAACTTGATCATATTTCCATGTCAAGACGTACAAGCATATATTTAGTAGCCGGTGGCTTATCTTATAATAAGGATAATATATTGAAATCCAACCATTATTGATGGGCATCTAGACTGCTCATCTTTTTATTGCTAGCATTTGATTTTGAGGAGCACATGGACTTACGTGGCGAATATGTGCCTGTGCCTTAGGAATACGAAGTGTTAGGATGCTAGATGCACGTGTACTGCTCTGCATTAAAGTTAAACATATGTTCAAATGGGTTAGCAGAAATTTTCTCATGGGCTTTGCTCATTTTCTCTCTTGTAGTTTAGACTTAATTATTGATTGGCATGATCTCAGGAGCTGTGAAAAAACTCATCCAGAGTATTTACTTTCCTTTTCCAGGGTCCTCACGCCACATGTGTCCATGAAAGCTGGA